CGACGCTCCGGGCGGAGGCCATGGCGGGCGCTCAGGTGCACATGTGCCAGACCGTCTGTCCCTCTCACGCGAACCATCGCGGGGAGCTGAGCCCCGGGCAGCTCCTCAAATGGATCGACACCACGGCCTGCTTGGCTGGTAAGCGCGAGCCCCTTCCCTCTCTACTGGGTCCAGTGGGTAGGGCTGACTGGGAACACCTCTCCCCCCCCCCACACACACACACAAGTATCAGTTCATCAGGTGGAGCGCACCGAGGTTACTTTTTTGAACGATAACCGCCCGACTCTCGCAAGCCAGCGTAGCCTCTTTGGTACTCCAGAAAGTAACAACTCGAGACTCTGCTGTCTGGGAGGAAAGTGCAGATCACCCACCGGGAGTCTTCAAGTCAAACCAGTTGGACTCGGCATAAGCTTTTGTGGATTTACGACACCTACCTCCTCCTTTTGCTAGACTCGGTGGGACTTTCAGCCTGTCTGCTAATGACAAGCAGCAAGGCAGGCCACCCATAGGGTAGCATCCAGCTCCTTGGTCCTTTGCACCCCCAGCCTTTATGTTTTATTTGTGTTTTGGTTTTAATCATTGTCAATGCTTTATCTGGTATTAGATTTGTTTCCTGAGTCACCCAGAGGACTTCCCTTAGGAGATCAAAACTGATTTGAATCTAGGACACAGGCAGTGGACCAGTTTTCAGCTGGATGTTGCTGTTAAAACAGCATCATCAATGTGCTGCGCTTTACTCTGCTTAGATACCCAGTGAAGGAATAGTAAACTTACCACCTGTTACCAACATTTACAAGTTGGCAGCAGGTGGTAAGTTTACTATTCCTTCACACACCTCCAATGCTTTGTCATTATTTTTTTTACCCACCCCACTGTTCTTACAAAAAGTCTCCCAGGATGGTTTATGAGCATCAGAAATAAAACAGTCCTTTCTTGCAGCTCTCTAAAAGACATGACACAAAAGGGAAAAAAAACTTGGGAGGGAGGAAGGGGGGAAAGCAAACTCAGGCACCTTTTGGTTATAACGTCCACCTGTAAACTGAAGTCCAGCAATGATTACAAAGTCATTCAGTCACTGCAATATTTAGTTATTAGTTTATCTCATAATTGCTACCTTCAGTGGGTCATAGAACTTAATTTAAGGATAACAGAAGGCTGAAGCTTTAGGCCAGCTTTGGCAGTAGGTCGCTGAACGTGGGGGTGGACTCTTGGCGGCACAATAGATGGGACCGCAGGTGCTTTCTCCTTTCCAGAGGGGTACGAACCATATACTGTACCACCACTGTTGGTCTCTTTACCAGTGGGCAGAAAGTGGGGCATTTGATGATAGAAGGGTGTTCCTTTTGTATTTGTGAAGGCTTTCCTTTTCTTTGTTTTCAAGTGGCGAGCCAAGAGAAAGGGGCAGATTTCTGAGCAATTTGCAGTAAATAAGTAGTGATTTTCTGAATCCCAGTTGTTTCTTTGCAGCATCAACAAAAAAAAGGTTAATAGAATGTAGACAGGTAGACCAGAAGGGCTGCCCCCCCGCCCCATCTCCAGTTGCCCCCTGATCCATAGAAGACAACAATCTGTAGATGTAGTTAGGGTCTCTTTTATCCATGGGGGATCTCCATGAGTGTTAGAATCCTTTTTTTAAAATAATTTTTTGCAATACATATGAAGGGTCCCCATGGGTAACAGAGGCTTCCTACTTCAAGCTGCCACCCTCCATGCATCAGACGGCAAACCAAGAGGGAGTTGGAGAGGGCCAGGGCTACAGGACCTCTCTTCTTGCATTTTTGCTCTGCACACAAGCAAAGACCTGGGATAGTTTAATTTTTGCCAGGTCCAGACGGGAGATGTTGGAGTGGTCTGGTTCATGCTTAAGAGAGTCTTATCTTCAGTGCCATCTATTTTATCTCTCAGTTGATCAATCCTTCCATTCACATGGATTTTTTTTTCTCCCACGAGAAGAGCCCAGGCTGGTCTTCGGATTGCTCCGATTTGTCCCCCTTTAAATTGATGACATGCCTCCTTCCTGCCCCCTTCCCAGCGTTTTCCCATGGCTGTCATTCACTGAGCCGGGCCATGTTGACTTTCCTTTGTTGTTGTTAAATAAAGGAAGTTAAATAGCACAACAGCAACGCATCTATCTAGCATGGTACACATAACACATTGCCAATGTGTCTTGTTTGTCTAGAATAGCACGGCATTTATACAAAAATATTTAAAAATTAAAATAGTAAGTAGGAGTAGTCCAAATCACACAAACACACACACACACAAAACTTATAGCTCCAGCACGGTGCAAAAAAAGGAGCAGGGTATATCTAAAAAGGAGCAGGGTTTATCACACAAAAAGCGATCCAAATAGTGAGCTATATGCCTATCTAGATGTGCCCTTTCCTGACTAGTTTTGTCCTGAAAAGCTGGCAGATTTCATCTCAGCACAAAGAGTTAAACAGAAATGCTTTTTCAGCAGTAATGGCTAGCAAACAGACCTCCCTCTTTTAAAAGAATTGAATTATTCCAATGATGTTCTGTTTTATTGTATATAATTGAATAGCTGCAGTCACCATTAGTTTACCAGTTGTCAAGGACCTGGATTTGGAAAGTTACTTTTAAAAATTAACACATTTCCATTATTCCTTAAAGTATTTGAAAAAGAATTACTTGTTGCGAATCACTACAATGTTTAAAATATTACTCTGTGCTTTTAAATTAATTTTGTTAATTTTTTTCTGAAACAAACATCCAATTGTTAAGAAACTAGCACAAACTTGAAACATTCCTATAAATGCTTTTTTAAAATAATGTTTTAAATTAACTAGATGAAAGTACTTGTTACACCAACTAAAGTAACTTTGTTCTCTCTTCTTATGTTATCTTTGAAATGTGACTTTGTTATGCACTTGTTGTTTCTGCCATTCTTGTTATATACCATTAAGTTGTCTCTGACTTCTGTAGCCCTATGAATGAGCGATGTCCCTCAATAGCCATGTTCATCTGTTGGAAATTCAAAGTTGTAGCTTCCTTTGTTGTCAACCCACCTCTTATTTGATCTTCCTGCTTTCCTGTTGCCTTCAGCTTTTCCTAGCATTATTATGCCTTTGTTACCCTCTGCCCCCTAAGGGGGGGGTTCTTTTTATGCGTTACATTGTTTGTAACGTTACATTTAAGCTCTTTCAACTACTTTGTTCACAATAGTTGTATTGTTATTTCTAAATCCCCGCCCCACATTAATATTGCCCCATTGATATTCCTGATCAATATTTGGGGGTACAATTTGCCATATCATGTACTCCCTATGCATCAGGCATGGCAGACGAGTTGAGAACATGGGGGATCTGCATGAGACCCACAAGCTCAACTTGCCATGAGTGGTTTACAACATAGCAAAACATACTAAGATTCTGTGCACCTTCAAGGAAATCTTTGTATGAAAAGTAGACTTGAGAAGATAGTCAACCCATCATGGTTGAAGGCCAAATGGGAAGGAAAATGGTGTGATGTTTGTAACTGTCCTCTCTCCCTCCCCCACCCCCCGCAAACTGTCATTTTGAAGCTGAAAAACATGCTGGCCTTCCATGTGTGACGGCATCGGTGGATGACATACAGTTTGAAGAAACTGCCAGGTACTCCTTCTGACAGATTTTGTCAAGCCTAATCTCAGATTTCTTTTTCATGCATTTCAATTAATAGTGATTAACCAGAACTTACTATGTTGAAAATAATGGTGCCGTTATTTCTCTTGGAGCATAGCATTTGCTGAAATGTATCTGTTTTGATATAAATCCACCTTGCTGCAAAAAAGACACAGATATTTTTGATAAAGTCTACAGTAAGATGTAGTTACGTTTGATCGGATAAACTAGGAAATGTTTCAGAAGATTATGTAGGCCTAGTGAACTTTGCCACTTCGAGAATGGAATAAAGCATTTGCTCTGAGCATTTGATCATTGCAACTTAGGCTGTTTCATTTCTTACCACTTTCTTTTTTGATCTGACTTTAAAAAGTCTTCATCCATTAGACAGTCATATACTGCATTTCTTCAACTTTTGAAGACTATACATTTGAATTCAGAGATCTGCAAGAAGTTCAAGACACAGATCTTGCTTTTAACTTCCCAGAAAAAAGAGATGTACCCTAACTCCCCCCCGCAAACCACTCAACTGTTTGTCTTGATTATTAATACAGGGAAGATCAAACAGTTTTATGAAGTTAATCTTCCCTGCTCTTGCACGATAGATGGGAGAGCCAAAAACTTAGTTCTTCCTGTCCTACAGATTTCCCCTTGTAAATGTTCTCAGGCCATTTCCTCCCACATAGGCTGCAAAACCAGAAGTAAATTGGTTAGTGAAAAACTGGTCTGGGGCAACATTTACAGGAGAAAGTATGTGTACTGGAGTTCAGGTTACTTACCTAAACATTTATTTACCTAAAGCTACATGCAGCTGGGCTTTTTTCCAGTTAGGCGCTATGATGATGATGATGATGATGATGATGATGATGATGATGATGATGATGATGATGATGATGATGATGATGATAGTAGTAGTAGTAGTAGTAGTAGTAGTAGTAGTAGTCTTTGAACTGTAGAGCTGGAAAGGACCCTGCAGATTATCAGTTCAAGCCCTTGTAAGGGTGTGTGGAGGGAGCAGGAATGCTATGCGGGGGGGGGCAGAGTCATGCACAGTTGCGCATCTTAGAGGGAACCTTGCTGACACAACATTTGATCTGCCATTTTGTTGCTCGGTGATGTCGTTTAGATATATTCACTATCCTTATTCCAGGTACCTGGGTGTTTTCCATAAACCAGGCCTTATCCCTGAACTAATTCATGGTTCCAGATAATTTATATCCCTTTGGCGGTATATAAGTCCAATAAATAAATAAGGTGCCTGGGTGTTTTCCATAAACCGGGCCTTATCCCTGAACTAATTCATGGTTCCAGATAATTTATATCCCTTTCTTCTCTTGGTACCCAATAAAATACCTGGTTTTTTTTCCAGCTCCATAACAGGTCTCTCCACATCCTTATCTTTATCTGTGCTACTCCCTTTTGCGCTCTTCCCACCCAACTGGTTTCTTTGCACTCTCATTCCTATTATTTTCCTTCCCTCTGTATCTTTTCCCCTCTCTCTGTTTCCATCTTTCCTCATTCTTTTGTCTGCTCCTCGCTGAGCTGAAGAGTAGAAGCAGTTCTTGTCTACCGACAATTCATGGGCTGAGAAAGTCGGCAATGCCCACAAGCAGCATGATGCATGTCTGGCAGACTGATATTTCCACAAAGACATGGGAAGGATCTGCCAACACTGGGATTTCTCCCAGATACAAGGAGCCAGGGATGAGCTTCAGTCCATAAACTTTGTGTCATGCTGGTCTGTTGTACATAAATCCATAGTGTCTCTCTGGCACCATCCTTAATCGAACAGGGGCAGTTTCATAATTATAATGACATACAAATATAATATTAATATTCATAAAAAAATAAGTTCCCTGCTTGCCTCCAAAATCCTGATTAGAAGTAACATTTAATATATGATGTGTATATAATCCAGTGGATCAGGAACTTAGCACCACTTTGCACCTGCAATGTTTATAAAGAAGAAACAACCTTACTGATGGGTATTGGGGCTAATCTCCTGTGAATTTGTTTTGTTTATATATTTAGTGTAGTTTGTAGGCCACCTTTGTCCTGATGAGGGGACTCCATTAGAAGCACTGCCCCTCCAATCTAGATAAGAGCCAGAGAGTTAAAGCTGTTCATAAACAACCTCCTCTACTACTCACCCTCTATCCAGAATCACAGTGTGGATATTGAGCGAATAGATCCACCACTGACACAGTATTTTCTCTCAGATAGTTGCAGGAAAAATGTAGGAAATAACAACAGCCATTCTTTGTGATCTTCCAAAGGCCTTTGATTTGGTTAGCAAGGACGGCCTTTGTAAAATACTTCCCAAGATTGAACGTCCACCTCAACTCCTTAACATCATCAGGTCCTTTCATGAGAAAATGAAGGGCACTGTAGTTTTTGATGGCTCAACATCAGATCCCTTTGACATCTGAAGCGGAGTAAAACAAGGCTGTGTCCTCATGCCGACCCTGTTCGGGAACTTTTTTGCTGTCATGCTGAATCATGCCTTTGGAACTGCAACAGAAGGTGCCTATCTCTGGACTAGATCAAATGGAAAGCTCTTTAATCTCTCTAGATTGAGAGCAAAGACCAAAGTCCAGCTGAAATGCATGCAGGACTTCCTCTTCGCCAATGATGCAGCTGTTGTTGCCCACTCTGCTGAAGACCTCCAACAACTCATGAATCATTTTAACGAGGGCTTCCAAGACTTTGGATTAACAATCAGCCTTAAGAAAACACAAGTCATGGGCCAGGGTGCAGACTCACCTCCCTGTATTACCATCTCCACACAAGAATTGGAGGTTGTTCATGACTTTGTGTACCTTGGCTCAACAATCTCTGACACTCTCTCCCTCGATGTCGAGCTGAATAAATGCATTGGCAAAGCAGCTACCATGTTCTCTAGACTCACAAAGAAAATAGGGCTTAATAAGAAGTTGATGGCATATACCAAGATCCGGGTCTATAGAGCCTGTGTCCCGAGTTCACTCCTGTACTGCAGTGAGTCCCGGACACTTTGCGCACGGCAGGAGAGGAAGCTGAACACATTCTATATGTGTTGCTTCTTTGGTATCACCTGGCAAGATGAGGTTCCAAACAGAGTAGTCCTAGAATGAGCTGGAATTTTTAGCATGTGTACATTACTGAAGCAGCGATGTCTACATTGGTTTGAGCATGTCATGAGAATGGCTGACGGTCAGATTCCAAAAGATCTCCTATACGGAGAATTAGTGCAGGGAAAGCGCCCTAGATGGAGACCACAGCTGCAATACAAGGACATCTGCAAGCGGGATCTGAAAGCCTTAGGAATGGACCTCAACAGATGGGAAACCTTGACATCTGAGCATTCACCCTGGAGGCAGGCAGTGAATCATGGCCTCTCCCATTTTGAAAAGGTACTTGTCCAGTAGGCCGAGACAAAGAGGCAGTCCCAAAACCAGCAAAATTAGGGAGCTGGACAGGGTACAGATTGTACTTGTCTTCAGTGTGGAAGGGATTGTCACTCTTGAATTGACCTTCTCAGCCACACTAGATGCTGTTCCAAGTCCTCTATTCAGAGCATGTTACCATAGTCTCTTGAGACTGAAGGATGCCTAATCTAACTACTCAACTAGCCTAGATCTGATCACATGGCTTGGAAAAGCTGATTTTCAATTACAAATCCCAGAATCTCTCCTCTGCATAGCCAACATGGCAAAAAAGTAACTTTTCCAAACTACAGTATGTCATTTTTCAAGCATTTACTTTGGACTGTAGAAAAAAATTCATTGCAGCATATTGAAAGTGATGTATTCTTTGGCTGTAAGATAATTGCAGATGGTGAACAGATCCTGATGTAGATAACTGATTCCTACAGGAGTCCTACAAAGATTTACAGACCTCCTGAGCAAAGAGAACAGACTGTATGATTTGTCATAGCTGACAAATTAGCCTAGTAAAGGGTTAATACCAGAATGAAACCAAATAATCAGTAACAAACTGTTTGTAAAACTCCTCTGGGTGGACCATTGTGTCTTCATTGTTGCAGGAATTCCAGGCACTCCAGATCTTGTTAATTCTATACAAGTTCCATTTATTTACAGAATTTCTAGGTTCCATGCTTAAAAGTAGCAAATCCAAAAATTATCAAAGACAGTTTTACAATTATGAGGGGAAAATGAAGGTACATATGCTTAAATCCAAAAGTAATAGAGATGTACAAAATAATAGGCTTAAAATACTTTAAAATCCATAAAAACTGAACTTAAGTCAGAAAATGCATCTCGGTTGTAAGCTTACTGCTGGATAGCTCGGTGGCTTAAGTCTCTGGTTAGAAACAGAGGTTGGGGGTTCAATTTCCCACTGTGCCTTCATGAGAGGAGCTGGACTCAGTGATCCATAGGGTTCCTTCCAGCTGTGCAGTCCAAAGGTTCAAAGCTTGTTGTTATAGCTATGCAGAGTACAGAGAAGAATTTTAGTCATGCTTGAATAAAAAATGCAATAACATTAAAACACACAAGCTCATAGCCTATATAGGCAGAGAATATATCTTTATAATTCATTTAAAAGTTAAAAAACAATATAACTTTTAAAGCTTCAAAAGCTTTCTTAAAAATAGATTAAATAGCATCAGAGTTCTTATGATAAGAAAATAAAAAGTGAAAAGCATTATTTAGCTCTAAGCATGTAATTGACACAGATGAAAGTATTTTCTCTAAAAGGCTCTGTAGCGTTCACCCTTATTATGTTAAGTAATCATGCATATTCATGTTGCAGGCTAATGCTACTGAGAGGCGGAGTCGAGAAATATGTAAAAGAGGTGGAGTCAGAGAGTGGGGGAGTCAGAGTCAAGAGGGAGAAGAGAGTGGAGAGGGAGATAGAGTGTGGTATTTGGGAGATCTGAGGTGTGTTTAGTCAGAAGAGTGAATAGTAACTGTAAGATCAAATAGAAGATTGTGATTGATGATAAATAAACCTGAAGAAAATACTTATGATTAACTGTCAAACATCTGTAA